TTAGTAAAAATTTTTTCAATATTTTCAGTTGTGTTAGGATTAACATCAAGAGGATCAGGTATAAAAATTTCTGGAACATTAACTCCTTTATTAGCACATATTTTTTAAACCATACTAATTCTGGTATATTAGATAGTTGAGTCTCTTTTTCAGTACTATATTGTATAAAGGTAAATAACTGTTCGGCTATATCCTCCTCTGCTTCTACTTCCACACATTGCTTTGACATTTCTGACAATGTAGATAGGTGAAGCTTGCATGCCGGGCAAACTTGTTTTTTATTGTTGATATCTTTTTTTTTACAGCTAGAAAATTATTTGCTGCAACAAATATTTGAACCTATGTTGGATGCAAGAGAATCAATCTTATTAGTTGTAGCTAATTTTTCTTCACACAATAAACCAATAACTTCAGAAAGATAAAAATGCAATTTCTTATTTATAACTTTCTGCATTTCAAGCGTAATATCGAAAAGGCTTTTATATTGAGACCTATCAAGAGAATTAAATACCCAAGGTGCATTATTAGTATGTTAAATATAATTTTGCGAATTCATATTGAAGGCAACGAAACTAGTAACAGTGTGAAATATTACTGTGTTGAGTCCTCGATCAAGATAATTTCTTTGTTCCCTTTGTTCATTGTCAAATGCTAAAAATAAAAGTCTTCTGGTAGTGCTTCTTCTTTATTAAATAATTTGTCTAACCAAGTTTGAAAATAGAAATAACTTCCCAAGCTTGTAATGTGATTATCAATATTGATAATAGTTTTTGATCTTGTAATTGAATATTTTATTGCTAATGCTACAAGGTTCATTTCTGATATATATTTTCTGTGTCTGGATCCATATACAGAATCAATAGCAATAACCCTTTTATAAACCTTTTCAGCACTTTCGAACCCTGTATTAAGATTATTATGGGTTAATATTTACAAAAACTTGATTGTGTCTACTTAGCCATAAATGAGGGTATAATTTAATAGATTTTCCAAAGAAAATCTATCACTATGCCTAATTAAAGCTTTGATATCACTATATAAAAAATTTTGTTCAATTAGTGCAATATCGATAACTGCTTGTATGCACTTATCTTGATCAGAGTATCGAGAATCCCATTGCTCAACTAGTTTCTTATTCTTATTAAATTCACTACTAAATAAATTCTTTAAATAAGCTATAACTTCATTGTGCTCTTCTAGCTGCCTTCTCAATTCCAATATCGATCGTTTTTGGTTTTTGATGCTCCATTGAAATTCTGTAGCTCTCTATTTTCTTGTTTTTGCAGTTGTTACTGCAATGCTGCAATTGTACGCTCATAACTTTCCATACACCTTGTTTTAGTATACAATTCATCATTTTCTTCATGAACAAAATCATCAGAGCTTGTGTCAGATTAGGCTCTCTTATTTTTTAAAGCAGAATTATCTAAAAGGTGATTATAAAAATAATTAGTAGAAATTACTTGGTTATAATGTTTTCACAAATCGAGTGTGAATACAAATAAAGTTTAAGTTCAGGTATATAATCCACATATGATTTAAGCTGATAAGTAGTGGTTGCTGTATCAGCATATCTCCAGGTTTGCTTTTCCTTTGTTTTACAGGGTCTTAATCTGAGTTTACTATATTTGTTAGCTATTAAGCTAAATATACAAAAAAGATCTTTGGCTCTTGGCTTCTCTATAGCTAACGAAGTTTGCAACATTGTTATAAAGCTTTTATACAAGCATTTTAACAAAAAAAAAAGAAATTAATACATTGTATTAAAATTTAAATATAATATTCTTCATTATTTCAGGTCTCATTTACCTTTTCAAAAAAGATTAATTACTGAAAAATAACAACTGATTGTATAACTAAATTAACTTGTCAAGGTTTATTATTATGAATGCCCCTAAATTCTAGAATCAGTAAGAGTATTAGTAATTATAATTATCCAATCACAGTGCAGAGAATTTTTGAAGATCATTCTAGATGTGTTCTAGAAACGAACTTCGAATTTGCTATATTCCCTAACTGAATTATCAAATACCTGCTATATATATTCTTAGAGTATTTATAGAAGGCCTATATAGAAAAAATTGCTGTTTTAATATTTGCTAACAATTTTGATACCTTAGATACTACTATTATGAAAGCAAGAATGATAAAAGCTAGTTAATATTATAAGAATAGAAATAGAAAAAAACTCACTAGCCAGGTTCTTGACAATTTAATACAGAAAATGTAGCAGATAGCTACAAATTGTAGGAAATCACAACTGTTCTAGCTACTAGTATATAAACTAACCAACTTTGCCTCTAAGCTAATACTTCTTAAAATAAAACTCAACAGTTTTAACCTAGAAGAAATATAGAAATTGCCCCTTTGAACTACAACATACTATAAACAACTTCTACAGACTATACTAGAACCACTCCAACTATCTAAAATATTAATTTATGTAATATCAATAATAATAACCCAAGAGATGAAGTATATAAATCAAATGAACCAAAAAACCAGAAGACAAAGCAAATTGGAATGACTAATTAAAAAAAAGAGTTGCTTTGGAATCTAACCTAGTACCCTAAATACTTCAAATATTCCAACCAATCCTTATAGAAAATGATATTCTAATACAAATTTCTGTTCAACCCTAGCCTAAAGTACTTAACAAAGTTAGGCATAAACTAGTTATTGATTCAATAATATCATACAACATTGCTAAAGATCTTTTAAGCTAATACACCAATGCTACATATACACAATTGCCCAAGTTCTTTGGCAAAGACTGTACTTAACACAAGCTTTGTAATGTCCTATTATCAATATATCTGAAGCAATTAATTTTATATTGAATAAATTTATACAACAAACTATAGCAGCTAAATGCTATATTAAGGTTTACAATAAACTGATTTTGGCAGTTCTAAATTCAGAAGCTACAATTAGTATAATATGTATCAGTAAAACTAGCAAAAAAATTAGATCTTATTATAACAATACCTTCTAATACTATAATTACTGCAAATAGGGCCCAGGAGCCATATTGGTTAAATTATTTGGAGTAAAACTTACTATACAAAGTAGTGTTTACTAATTTTTAAATCATTTGAAAACCTTAAAAAATGATACTTCTAAGTATAAACTAGTTCTAGAAAGTTTATGTCTGCTTATATTTTAATAAAAAGAAATTACTTCTTCAGTACTTAGGTAAATATATTGAAGTTCTAATCTACTAAGCAAGAGAGAACAAATAAAAGCCACTCAAAGATAAAATTAGAAAAGATAATAATTTCTTCAGTCTATATAAAGAAGAAAAAGATCTAGAAGAAATAAAAGATTATTATATAAATAAAACCAAAATACAGAAAAAAATCTTTGGTCTGTATGAAATAAGTAATAACTATGCAATTTATAATATAGAAGAAATCCCTACTTTGAAGGATGAGCCTCAATTTGAGCCAACTAACAAACAATTAATTAAAAAATTAATACAAGTAGAAGGCTTAAACCCATAACAAAGACAAAAAGCAAGACATGTTTTCGAAACTTACTTCAACATTCTTTAACAGAGCTAGACAAATAAGCTATACTAAGAAAGTTCAACATAAAATTGACATCAATGATGCCAAACTAATTCGACAACCAGCCTATCAAATCTCACCTGATAGACAGAACTTTCTAGATAAAAAAATCAAGATACTAATAAAACATTGACTTATATATAAACTAAAAAGCACCTAACCTCTTCAATCATTATAGTCTCAAAGAAAAATAATAAATTTTGACTATGTGTTGATTACTGAAAACTCAATATCTTGACCAAGAAAGATGTAAATCTCCTATTGCACATAGATAATATGTTGGAACTTTTTAACAAGTCCAAGTAGTTCTCACTCTCAATTTGGCTAGTGGGTACTAAAGATATCCATGAAGCTTAAAGACTAGAAAAAAACTATGTGTATTACAAAACAAGCCATATATATTTAATATTATCCCTTAAACTATACATTTTAGCATACAAATATATATGCTAAAATAATTAAATAAAAGTTGAACTAGAAAAATTTTTATAAAAATCTTTATTATAATTGGCTGTAGTGATACCCAAAGACTTGTATCACATAGTAAACTCCACTGCCACAGTGTGGAATACTCAAATGATTTAAACAAAGAGCATAAATTTTTATAATAGCTGTAAAATATACTATTTGGCTTGAATATTTGAGTTATAATATCACTCCAGTATTATCACAAAAATCATCTGTAAAGTTGGTCGCAAAGGTTTTTTTAATCAACTTTAATATTTAAAATAAAAGAAATTTTTATGTAATGATTATAAATAATTTTCTTGATTGTCACATACAGGATTCTTTTTTAATATTAAATTTGACTACAAAAGACTATATGGGGGTGAGTCAATAGAAATGCACCAAATCTTTTTTAATAAATTTTTTTTAAATTTTAAACAAATATAACTCAAAAAAAACTTGATCAAATTTAGTAAAATTTTTTTAAATTATTTTCTAAAAGTTATTAGAATTATTTTAAAAAAAATTTGATTAAATTTGATTAAGTTATTGTTAGGTTATTTTTGTTTAAAGTTTTAAAAACATTTACTTAGAAAAATTTGGTGCATTTCTATTGACTCACCCCATATGTTGACCAGTCTTATCTAGACTATTTTTAGAATATTGTTGAGAAAATAAAGCAGTAAGATTAAAACTTAACTAGAAAAAATATGAATTATTTAAAGAAAATATAGATTTTATGGATTATACCATAGAGCAATAGTATTTAATTAAACAAGAAAAAGGTAGAGAAGATTAAAAATTTTAACCCACCCACTAACCTAAAGCAGCTAAGAGGTTTTATATGCCTTGTATCCTATTATTAATAATTCATTAAGGGCTCTTCCACTATAGTGAAGCCTTTATATTAGCTACTAGAAAAAGATACTCTGTACTAATAAAAGAAAGAGTAGAAGCAAGCCTTTGAAACACTAAAGATTCACCTTATAACAGCTCTGGTCTTAAGGTATCCAAACTTCAAAATGATGTTTTACCTCTATACTAATATATCAGGTATCAGACTAGATGCTGTTCTAGTACAAAAGATAAAGTCAAGAAGAAGTATACAATCACATATATCACAAAAGCCTTATCAGACTCAAAAGAAACTATGTAGTTACTGAATTAGAATATTATGCTGTGGTTTAGGCTATAGAGCACTTCTACTACTATCTGGGATATAAACTCTTTATTATTGTTACTGACTACCTAGCTCTAAAATAGCATCACAATACTGCATTAAAGGGAAGGCAGTCTAGATAGATTTTATGCCTCCAGCCCTACAGTTACACTATAATCTATAGAGACAGAAGAGTATATAACAATGCTAATACATTGTCAAAAATGACTAAAGAACTATCAAGAAATCAAAAAAGAAATAATGTAAGCACTAACTAAAAAAAATACAGAAAACCACAAAAGAACAACTATGTTTATCTGATCAAGAAGATCTAGTACCAAATTGGCAGAAGAAGTTGAAATCTTCCAGGTTATTGCTCAAGAATACTTCTATGAAGACTATAATAAAGAAATGAAAATTATCACATAGGAAGATAATAATACTATAGAATCCCTTTTTTTTTTCTTCTTCCATAACTTCTAACTACCGAATCCTATTTCCCTGTTTTTTTTTTGTTTTTTTTTGGGGGGGAAGGGACGGGTGGGAAAGAGCCAGACAAAGTCAGGCAGCGAAGAAAAAAAGCACTATCGATCTCCCATCTATCCCTCTACCTTAAATAACAAATCTAATCTTCCCTTGATCCCATTGTAACCCCTAAATAGCAATTATCTTCAACAATTTACATCTTTGGTTTAGGTGCGATAATAACCTACACATGACTATCGTCATGAGTCAGGCTAAAACTTCGGATGATCAAAATTCGGATGTCCATGATATATAAATTCTAATATATGGACACCCGAATTTTTGATCATCTGGATGATCAAAAATTCGGATGTTCGTGATATATAAATTTTAATACATGGTTATTCGAAGTTGCTCCGGAAATTTGGATTATCGAAATTCGGATCATCGTAAGTCAACCAGTACTAGTTCTAATAATAATAGACAGGGTTGAGTATTTGTTTAGAGTTAGAGATGCGATCCAGGATATCCTCTAATTTAATTTTATAACAAAATTATTATAAAGAATCCTTAACTTTAAATAGGAAAATGGATAACGGATCTCATCTCTATCAAACCCGAACATGTTTGCGAACTTTCAAACTGAACTCAAACCAAACTATTAGTTTCGAAAAATAAAGGTTGGTTCCAGTTTGAGTTCGAAGATCTGCAAAATTTAGAGTTCGAGTCCCCATGCCAGGCAAATTAGGCATCAGGCCAGGTACTAGTACCTTATGAGTACGAGCAGGCACTGTAATGGCACAGGCACAGGCACTAAATGACGACTTATGCCTGGTATTTCGCATCTTTACTTATGAAAGTTCTTGGTCACATTTTTGTATCTATGCCCATGCCCGTGCCAACCTATACCAAACTTTTGTGCCTGTGTCCATGTCCGTGCCAAAATTTTGTGTCCGTACCTTTGCCCATGCCTAAGATTTTATGCCTGCGCCTTGCCTATGCTTTTTGTTTGGCATGGGCATGAGCCCGACCTGCAGATCCCTAGTTATAATACCTTAGGGCAGTGTTGTCAATTTTACCGGACAACCCAAATTTGTTTATGAATTTGGCTGATAAAAATTGCCAACACTGCCTTAAGGTACGATCACTAGATTATGGCATGCCAATTTTTTTTATCGTGCCGAGAACCCTAGTGTTACTATGCAGTTACTGCGTATTAATATTTAAGTTTCTGTAAAGTTGTTATTTAAAGTTTTAATTAGAGACAGGCTAAGTGCATTTTTGGGAAATCATCACATGAATGCGCATAAGCCCATTTCTAGTTTTGATCTATTACTACTGCAAATTACTGAATAAAGATGGGCTAATATTGCATAACGTGTACGTACGTACGATGCAGGAAATCTAAAAATCTCAATATAGTGGTATATAATATTTTAAAATATACATAGAGTAATTGTTATTAAATGCATATTAATCTTGACGTATTATATTTATTCCACATCATTTTTCAATTAATGCCTATTATTAATCGGTATTCATTCGTAAATTAAAAAATATCATGTTTTATTTTAAAATCGATAACCATTTGCCGGTTAATTAATATAGTTTATTATGCTAAAAAAAAAAAACAATACCAAAATTAAAAATAAAAATTAAAAATAAAATAAAATAAGCGTACGTAAAAAAAATTTTTAAATGTTTAAAAAAAATAAAAGATACGTAATAATTTTTATTAAAAAAAATTTAAAAAAATTTGTACTATAATTAAAAAAAATTTTAAAAAAAGAATAATAAAAAATTTAAAAAGAAAATTTAAAATAAATTTTTTAAACAATGTATTTAAAAAAAAATTTAGAAAAAAAATAAACCAAAATTTATAAAAAAAACAATATAAATAAATAAATAAATAATAAAAGATGCGTAAAAATATTTTAAAAAATTAATTGAAAAAAAAAGAAAAGAAAAAAGAAAAAAAAATGCTTTAAAAAAATTATTACAAGTATGCATAAATGCCAAATACCAATTAAATTTGCATTATCAAACGAATTGTATGAATATGTTCAAATATACTGTAATTATAAACTTTTGTATAAAACACATACAAATTTTTTGAATTTACATAAACATGATTAGAGCCGAAATTTGCTTTCGACCTGCATATCTAGTTGCTTGATATTTAATAAAAAGTTGATGGTAAATTTGTGTTCTTAAATAATTTATCTAGCTTAAGATTTAATCGTGAAAATACAGAGTTTTGTCTAGATTTTTTAAATTTAGATACTCATTACAGCAAAATCGCGATTTTTATCCATTAAATTTCGTTTTTTTTTTCCTTTGCTTGAAAGCCTTTAAGTAAAACATACCGCTCTAAATTGATTATCTTTATTATCTTTAATAATAAATATGTTATTATTATTATTAATAGTCTATTAAATTAAGTCTTATTACCTGTATTAAGAATTGCCCCGAGTCATTTTTCTTCAATCGGTGAAAATTGAAAATGACATACGTCAATTAATAATTGACATAAATTGAAAATGATGCAAACACTTCTATGCAAAGAGATTGAGATTAAAATAATCTATTATATTATCAATAATCATTTATGACGCATTATTACATGATTTGCTATTATACATATTTGCAACTTCTAGTTTCTGACTTAAGAGAACTAAAAAACTTTTTGATGAATTATGCAGTATACTTCCCATACTAAATGTGAAGTATTACAAAGAACAAATTTCACACAAACTGCCGAGATTAACATTTGTTTGATAATGCTATGCGATGCATAAACGACATGCAGGAAATTATCGTACCCAATAAACTGACCAAGAAGTTTTTCAATTATTTGAGATTGTTATTTATTTGAATTTTATTATATTTGTAAAATTTAAGATGTGTTTTCTTTGTGTATTTTAAAGCCAATCGTTTATATGTTGCACGATCTTGTATGTTTATGCGTTTAATCTGTACTGTTTTGGATTCTTAGAATTTTATGGAAATGCACAATGGCAAAAATCGAATACACCTTTAAAAAAAGAGTTTGTAATAAAACCTTTTGCAGAACTCAGATACGGGTTCTAACATGAGTTTTTTTTACTAAAATTACATTACTATAAATACATTTGATGATATCGCTGTTAAATCAACTAATCGAATCGTAATGCATTTGTTATAAATAATCGCAAAAAAAAAAAAGCGTTATACCAAGAAGAAAAATGTCTTCAAGTGCAAAAGAAATTGTTATTAAAATTACACCGAACAATCAAACTCCTGAAATTGAAAATGAAATTGACATTAAAATTGAACCGAATATTCCTAAAAATGAAAAATTAATTAATATCAAAATACAACCGAATAATCAAACTCCTGAAAAACAAATTCGAGAAAGAATTTATCACCTAAATACATTAAATAATCTTATTAATAAAAACCAATCATTGATAAATATAACACGTCGATACTTAGTAATAAGTCTCATTCCTACAATCTTTATTTTTGTTTGGTTTTTATATTCAATGTTTAGTAAGAGTATAAGTAGAGATACTGGAAAAAGCGTTATAAATTACATATCAGCATTTGCAAGTGGATCATCGATTCTTACTTTTATTTTCATTAAAGGCATTTTTGATACCAACAAAAGCGAAGAAAGCAAACGTTATTTTGAATATCCTGAAGATATCGTTAAGCTTAGTTTAATTAACTTTGGGGATGACTCTTTTAAAAATTTCAATAAGTCTTTAAAAAAAAGAAATAATAATTTAAAGTTTTTAAGTAATTCTTCATTAATTATAAATTTTCTTCTTTATTCATTTATAACCTTAGTTTACTTTATTGTTATTTTTATATACATGAGAAAGTTTAAAACATGCGAAAATTGGGCAAACTGTCAAAGTATGGTTGCTCCCAATTACATTAAACAAGATTTATTTGATGAATATAACAATATATATTCTTATTCTTGTGACTATTCACCATTTAGCTCACATTCTTTTGACAATTTTATTAATTATTATTACACTTGTACTGAGCTAAATATTACATATTTAGGTCCAGATAATTTTCTATATTGTTATAATTTGATTCAATATAGTAACACTATGGATGATATTATGGATAATACTATGAATAGTTATGAACTCGAAAGAAGTTGTAAAATAATTGATATTACAACACTATTATCTATTCTTGGAATAATAAGCATTGCTTTTTTTATAGCATTTCTTAATTTCATAAATTCTCTCTTCACACTTTTTATTTTAAATTTATCTAGATTTAAAAAAGGAACCAATAATGAGTTAGAAATATTTGAAAACAAAAATGAAGATGAATTAAGAATATTTGAAGATAAAAATGAAAATGAGTTAAAATTATCAGAAGAAGAAAAAGACGAAACTGAAAAGAAATTTAAAACTAATGAAGAGAAAGATGAAACTAAAAATGAATTAGAAATATCAATAAAAGAAAAAGACGAAAAAGAAAAAGACGATAATGAAAATGAGAATGAGAAAAAATTAAAAAATGCAATTAAATTCTATTCATACTTTTCATTTATAAATTTTTTTTCAAGTTTATTAACAAAAAGCGATATGTCATTTTTTATTTATGATCAAGTTTTATCAGTCAAAGAACAAAATAGCTTACAATTTATTTTAAATGGATTACCGTTACCGCACAACCATTAAATGGATAATTTTTTTTTTTTGAAACTTTTATATATTTTTTTGGGTTTGTTTTTATTTATGTATCTATTTTTTTTATTTGTAAATATATGCTATAGAAATGTAAGGTGTTATACGTTATTAAATATTTGTAAGGTGTTAAAAAACTTTAAGAATCATCAACACAAGTAATAGGTACATCCAAATTAAATTGTCTTAATTATCGGATCAAACAAGAAAATATCTCCAACAGCTTCTTGAGTAATTTCATAACCATCCATCATAACAGTATCTAAATTAATATCCATGTCAACATTGAAAATAGATGATGTATTTAATCATGAATGTAATCATGTTTTTGTGCTCTTATTTTGAGACGTGCCGTAGTTGCTGTAATATAATGTTCCTTCAACTAATGAACTATATGTGCACCTTTTCTGCTTTACATGGTAACAAAACCCGCGAAGTTAAGTGAAGTTACGGAATTTGCTGTGGGTAAATCTGGATTTTCTAATTTCTCCCCACTTCCCATTAGACGAATACAAATATCGTTTTCCATTGATTGAAACCAATTATATCACTGATCAGGATGTCTAAAAATTTCATGTAGCATCTAATGCGCTGCAAAGAATATATTACTTCTCAAATTTTATTTTCGAATGATTACATATTGAATAAAATTTTATTTTAAATAATTTTCTTTTCGCTATTTAATTCTGATGTTTTGCCCTTTTAAGTTTTAGTACTTTGAAGTCTTTTTGGTAAATAATTTTGTGTACAATTTTATTAGTTATTACTGTAAAAATTTCCTGTATCGTGTAAAATCTTTAATTGAATAAACATACTTTAAGTCAACAAAATAAGTATTGATTTTTTTTTCTTGTTTTTTGTAAGTGTGTAACATTTATTTTCAGTATTACTGATTAAAAAACTAGTATCAGGATTACTGTACGATTTCTGAAAGATCATAATACTGACTAATTATGTCCTTTCGGAAAATGGCTTTTGAGAACTTGAGTTACATTGTTGTATTAGTAGCAATATACTTACAATATCAAATTGACCTTTATCAAAATTTTAAATTCGACATTTCGGCGTAGTGTTATTAGCTGGCTTAGTCGTTGACTAATATCACATCTATAAACTTGCAACATTTTTTGCAAATTTTATTGTCTATATATTAGTTATTGATCAGTCGATTATTTAGTCGACTAGCAACATAATTTCGGTGGCATATTGCTTAAAAAAAATAATAAGGATAAAAAAAAGCTTAAATCATATTATTCAAAGTAAAACCAAATTGTTCAAGCTACTTCTAATGAAGCATGTCTGGAACAATCGCATCCAATGTCGAGTTTGATAACATGGACAATAGTGATAACAATTTGAAGAAAAAATATTATGTAGACGATTGCTAATGATATTACTTAAAACGAAGCAATAATCGAATCTTCAAGCTACACATAAATATAAATTTGAAAGTGTTCTATTTGATAACGATAATCATATTTGTTTTTAACTAGAATGATGAAATTAAGAATATGTAAAAGTATGAAAGAATATGTAAGAACATGTAAAGATATGTAAAAATTTAGATGTCATACCGTAATTAAAAAATTGTAAATAGTCACTTATATAAAAAAAGCCTGGTCTAAAAATAATAGGAACACACACTGGCATATTAATTCTCATATTTGTTATTGAGATGACACACTGTAGAGAATCCTTTCGAAGTGAAGAGAAGATAATTCATTTCGGGCATAGTGTATTTCTCGTCATTTGGATTTAAACTTTTGCCTCTCAATATACCGATATAATATTATACTTAAGGCATAGAGTCGATGCCATGTTGGGAATATTATGGGGACACTATCCACCATAATGACCAGTACTGAAATCTAACTATCATGAGAGGTATATGGCATACCACGTATGCCAGCAATTTGATAATAAGACCTCATATCACTATAAAGACGATCAGGCATTGCCTAAGATATTTAATCTTGGATAAATTTCTTCATGTGGTAGACAATAACTTTTTCATTGAACGTCATAACGTTTCTAATGTGAGAGACATACGAAGAATGGCTCAATCCCATATGTTAAATTTTTTTCTCCTATATTGTTAGGATAATTTGAAGTTGAGAAGAAACCCTCATATTTATACTATCGTAATTATGTTTAAGAACATAGACAATTCTAAAGTTATACGATTAATTTTACTGAATCCATATTTATCCAGAAGGTCATCACGGCGAATTTATGAAACTCGGGTACCTTGACTAACTATGAAGTGCGTCATTTACTATTTGTTTTTTGACAT